GTCAGGCGGACAGAGGAAGGCGCGCGGGTGGTGTCACGCGGACAGAGGAAGGCGCGCGGGTGGTGTCAGGCGGACAGAGGAAGGCGCGCGGGTGGTGTCACGTGGACAGAGGAAGGCGCGCGGGTGGTGTCACGCGGACAGAGGAAGGCGCGCGGGTGGTGTCACGCGGACAGACGCTTATTTCAGCATTGGGTTCCGTCCACTTTTTACCAGTGGAGATTTCTTCAGTAAACTTTGATACATTCCTTTCTATAATAGACTGTTGTGATCCTGTGAATGAAGTAAAGTTGACGTGAGAAGTTAACCAAGATTATTCAAAGAAAAAAGGTTGCAGAATTGAGCAGACTTAAGCACTGATAAAGTATTCATAAAAAGTAAATCCGTGCAAATATGTTTGTATATGTACAGTAGGAATGTATAATAGCATATACTCAGCTGAATGGTGCCTACGTAACAGGTTTTAAATGTTTTTCTTACAGATGCGTCTTTGACAAGACCACTTCATCATCAAGCCTCTGCCTGCCCCCACTCTCATGGAAACCCCCCTCCTCAGACTCAGCCTCCACCTCCAGTGGATTATGTCATCCCTCACCCTGTGCATGCTTTCCATTCTCAGATACCTTCTCACGCAACATCTCACCCTGTGGCACCCCCGCCCCCAACTCATGTAGCCAGTGCGGCCGCGCCAGTCCCTCAGCACCTTGCTCCTGGGCACCAGCCGGTTTCCCACCACATCCCCGCTACAGCGCCTCCGGCACAGAGACTGCATCCTCCTGGGCACCAGCCGGTTTCCCACCATATCCCAGCAACGGCGCCTCCGGCACAGAGACTGCATCCTCATGAAGTGATGCAAAGGATGGAAGTTCAGAGGAGGAGGATGATGCAGCATCCAACGTATGTTTCGTTTTTAAAAAGAAAATCATTCTTAATTCCTTCTATCTCCATTGATCTTTAAAACTATAAAATCTTGGAGAAGCATGTAACTCTACTAAATCCTCCATTCACTAGGAAATTAATTACTGTTTTTACTAATCATAATCATCATCTTTTTTAATCCTGAGTTGTAGGTGTTGATGAAACAAGCTTGTATCAGATTATTTAATGAAATCAAACCACTTTTTTCAGCATATGGGCCCGGGATCGTTTATTTAAATCAGTCTCGTTTGTTTCTGAAGTATTCCGTAGTAAAGATTAATGTTCAGATTGATGATCCCAAGGAATGAGATCTGAAGCTATCAGAGGTTTATTTTGATTTATTAGATTTATTATATGTTACTAACCATAAGGGGGAAACATATTGATAGAATTTTCAACAACTGATATTGAAAAAAAAGTCTTTTTAGCTTATAGTTTATTTATAAATTTAAATATTAAAATATTCCTCAAATATTATAAAAGGACTGTAATTGAATTCTGTTTTCATAATTCAAGTTCTGATTATCTAATTCAGGGCAGCACACTCTGCTGGTCAAATCCTGCCTGCCTCTTTTTGTAAATAAAGTTTTGTTGGAACACAGATACACTCATTGATTTACATATTGTTTATGGCTGTTTTCACACTACAGCAGAGTTGAGTAATTGTAACAGAGACCAAATGGCTTGTAAAGCTGAAAATATTTACTATTTGACCCTTTACAGAAAATGTTTACAGAACTCTTGATCTGATTAATAATATGCCATGAGTATTCTTTTTCTAGTTGTGTAATTTAAAGTTATATTCAGAATCTCTGGCTATTGGTCTCATTCTAGTACAGTAATCTTTTATAGAAAGTTGCCAGTTTATCAGTTCTATCTTCCAGTATAAAAATTAAGATTTAACATGCAATCTGCAAATGTGGTTAGAAACTAATAGAAAATAAAAATTAGAATACAAAATTGAATCACTGGGTCAGAATTTTTTTGAGTGCCATTTGTGTAGAATTTTGGGACAGTTTAAATGTATTTGTGAATTTGACTGACTTTGGAAGAAGAAAAGAAAATATAACAAACTGGATGCAGATAAAGAGAGTGAATAGAACTAATGTTAGTTTCCTAGGTTTGTTAACATATACTGCCCATGTTTTGAAAAAACGAGCAAGGTTAAAAATTTTTTTTTCAAGATTTTATCCATTAAAATTGGGTGGATATTATTACTATACAAAAGTAAAGGGAAATAAAGTTCATTTTCCTGCCTCAGATGTTTATATTAAATAACTTCTTTATGCCTACAATTTTGCTGAGGTGTTTAATTTTTAAAAGTGTAATTTGCATTTAATTCCTAATGCTCTCCTCTTTAAAACATTTACTGTAAAAAAAAGCATGCAAGATAATGTTAAAATGATATTTGATAAATTTCAAACGATACCTGAATTCGAGGAATTAGGAAAAAATGAGTACCGGTAGTTAAAATGGGGGAAGCTTATGGTTTCTTGACTTATTTATCATTTGTAAAGTAATTTCTGTGTTACATTTTTATAATTTATAGTTACAGAATTAAATTTATGATGACTCTATAGATGCTTATAATATTAATACTAGATTTTTTTCTGCATTAAGAAATAACCAATTATTCAATTATTTCCAGTGGTCTTTTTGTGTTCTGTGTTTCCAGGCGGGCACATGAACGCCCCCCACCCCACCCACACAGGATGCACCCAAACTATGGTCACGGGCATCATATTCATGTGCCTCAGACTATGTCCTCACATCCTCGACAGGCTCCAGAGAGATCTGCCTGGTCAGTATCTTGTTTGTTTCAACGCTTTGCTCAGCAGCCCGTGGCACAACTGCCAGAAGAGATGCTTTGTAGTGTAGTGCCACACAGCAGGGTGACGAGGAGAAACCGAATCCCCCGCTCAGCTGTGAGACGCTATCTCTGGGCAACTTGTTACAGAGACCTGGAGAGGGAAGGCTGGGAGCGTGAGTTCTGGGGCAGGAAACCCTGTGACGCAATAGCAGAGCTTTTCTCCCCATTTTTCAGGGGTGTCTGCCACCAAAATTAACTCCCTAAACTGATCCTACTTTTCATGACTTCTTTATTCCCCCACCAACTTTGAACTCACAATTGCTCCCTCACCCCCAGCTCCTGCCATCGGCAAGGGAAATCCAGCCTGCATTGTCCGAGGCATGTGGTCTTTCCTAGAGAAAGGGAAGCAGATTTGCGTTAGAATCAGGCTTTCAGACTGGAAGGGACCTTGGGGGCTGTTCATTATATTTTCTTCCTTTGTGAAATGTGAAATTGAGTGCAAATGCTTTGTTCCTCTTGGTTACAAAATTGAATTTTTGAGTTTTAGTTTCAAAAATGAATTTGAAATTATTAGGTAAATATGTTGGGTCTAAACTATTTTTTTCTCAGCTACGTAAGTTAAGAAACTTTAGATTCTTTTTAAAATGTAAACATATTCCCCCATTTCTGTCACTGATAAACTGTAATGAGGGCGAAACTTTCAGCTGTTCTCATCCTTTGTCAGGGAGCTGGGAATTGAAGCTGGAGTGACTGCAGCCACTTACACGCCTGGTGCATTGCACCCTCACTTGGCCCACTACCACGCACCGCCTCGACTTCATCACTTACAGTTGGGAGCGCTTCCTTTAATGGTAAAATGGACATTTTCTTAAAAGTTCTGACATTTCTCCTTTTAAAAATATTCTACCTTTTCTTGTTATAATTTTAGTGGAAATATTTTCTTTTAATATATTGTTATAGATATCCTAATAGAATTTGTAGAATAATTATTATATGGAAATTATGCTATTAAAAAGGCATTTTATATATTAAAATCTGTATTTGTAATTTGTATTGTAAAATACACTCTTCTTAAATGTACAGAATGACCAACAAACTTTTTATTTGTATATGAAGATGATAATCTTGATTCATTATCATTAGGACATATGATTTAGTTATTTTACCATAAGGGGTAATGGATCTGTTCTAATGTACTCATACTTTATTTTCTGATCTGCAGGATTATACTGATTCTCTGCATCTGATGTGAACAGGTTCAGATTTTGTTGATTCCAATTCAAGTGCCCTTTTTTTAGTACCTTTTTTTACCAGGCACTTTGTTGTCAACAATACATACTAGTTACAAAAGTGACACAGAGAAGGGAGTAGTCCTCTTGTAGAGGTGGAGGCACAGAGAAGGGAGTAGTCCTCTTGTAGAGGTGGAGG